ATGATGTAACCTGCTTTGGTCCCCATTGCAGAGAAAGACTAATTTTCCTCCTGGGAAACCATTGTTGCCAATCTCTAGGTGAGGGCTGGAGATCACTCAGAATTACAACTGCTCTCCAGATGGCAGAGATCAGTTCCCCTGGAGAAAATGGTGAACTCTGTGTCCTTTTACACTGCTGAGAATGGCCCCCCCCCCCCATGACAGCCAATGTGATGTGGCAGTCAGGGCTTCAGAGCACAGTGGAAGCTGCAGGTGTGGGGGGGAGATGGAAACTGAAGAGTGAGGGGAAAATAAAGGTAGGTTGATGATTGGCTGGGAAGGAGATAGGGTTGCCAATTCCAGGTGGGAAATTCCTGGAGATTTGAGGGATGGAGCCTGGAGAGAGTGAGGTTTGAGGAGGGGTGGGACCTTAGACAGGTACAATGCCATAGACTCCACCGTCCCAACCAGCCATTCCCTCCTAGGGAACCACTGTTGCCAATCTCCAGGTGAGCGCTGGATATCACTCGGGATTACAACTGATCTCCAGAAGGAGCGGGGAGGAGATGGAAAGCTGAAATCAGAAGGGCAGATAATGGCAGGCTGCCAACTCCAGGTTCGGAAAATCCTGGAGATTTAATGGGTGGAGCCTGGAGAGGGTGAGGTTTGAGGAGGGGTGGGACCTCAGACAGGTACAATGCCATAGACTCCACCCTCCAAACCAGCCATTCCCTCCTGAGGAACCATTGTTGCAAATCTCCAGGTGAGGGTTGGAGATTACTCAGAATTACAACTGATCTCCTGGAGGGAGGGCGGGCAGAAGTCAGCTGCAGTCAGAGGGGCAGATAATGGTACATTGATAGTTAGCTGAGAAGCAGAATTTTTGCTCACAAGACTCCACAGCTTAGAGGGAGCAATTGAGGGTGCCCAATTTTAGAAATGACTCCACGGAGACCTGTGTGCTGCATTTTCTGGCCCACATTGTGTGACCTTGGACACCAGGTATTGTGTAACATAAGGTTTGTGAGACTTTACTTCCACATTTGTGCCTTTCTAATACATACTCCTAATATGTACTTAACCTGCTTCCAGCCTATGCTTTCGTTACACATCACATCTTTCTAGAGTCCATTGTATTGCTTTCACAACGGGATTTACTGCTAGTCATGAATAAAGTAGAGCTGATCACTAGACTTGGGGTCTGTTCATCCATGGAACCCATTATTTAACAGAGGGAACACTGGTCACATGACTGCACTGAGGCCTGCCTGCCTCATCTGCCTGCCTGTTTGGCCTGGAAGAGGAAGAGCCAATGGGCTGGTGCAATTAATACTTCGCAAGACAGCTAACAAGCACTCCAGCCGCACAGCCTCTGCCTCCATGCCCATTGACGGACTGGCAGGTAAGGGCACGGCCGGGAGCAGCAGGAGTTGTGGGGCCTGGGCTGTGAGTGATTGGGCACGTGACCCTAAGTGCCCCACCGTGGCTATGCACCTGGTGGTAGGTGATGTGAAAGACATCTACCTAAGACCCTGGGGAGCCACTGCCAGTCTGAGTAGACCCACCAACACCTTTCCTGGTGCCTGCCAAGTGTTTTTAGAAAGTGGATGTGGCCAGGTGGGAGGTTTTATCCTATAATGCTTCTGATTGGCCACTGAAGACTTGAATGGCTGTGAAGATTTTAAAAAACCCACTGCTTCGGCAGCAGCTGCCACCACAGCACATGGATCTTCACTGCATAACTGAAGGTAAACAGCTGCACCCATTTTGTGGCTGGCTCTGCCTCCAGCAGCAGCCATTTTATGGCACCAATTTTGTGTCTGTGCCCACCATGCTGTGTTAGAATTCCAAAGGTGCCTGCAGACTCAAAAAGTTTGGAGACCCCTGGAACAGACAATACTGACTTTGACAAACCAATGGTCTGATTCAGTCTAATGCAGTTTCATGTGTGTTCATGTGTGATTCTGAAACATGGATAGGACAGGAAGCTATTAGAACAAGAAAGTTTCTCACACTCACCTGTCCAGTCTAATTTTTTTCCTAGCACTAGCTTCTTTGTACCTCCTCTCTCCATCCTATTCAAAAGAGAAATACAATGCCTTGGTTACGTTTTGAAGACCTACACAACATACATAGGAACAAAACATGAGGCCTTAACCAACAGACTGGCCAAATGTAGTCAGCATTCAAGTTCACCCTATTTATTTCAGGCAACAGAACAAATAGGAGTCTCGTAGTTTAGCCTTTGTTGGGTAGAGGCCACTTCATCATATGCAAAAAATGAAACTTCAGTCAGCAGAATATGCACATACAGAGTAGAAGTACAGATTTGCACAGAAATGTCACAATCTCTCTGACAAACTCTGGCTTTCAGATCAGCAACAGAGTATCCTGGTAGACTGAAATGTTTTGCCACAGGTTTTGAAGGCAGCTATGTTTATGTCAAGTTTATAGCCATTTATTATTTTGCATACAGTTTTGTTCTACACAGACAGTCAAAAGGCACTAGTGACAAATGACTGCATATAGTGGCGGAAGAGCCCATGATAGTATGGTCCTATAATGTTGCCTGACTGGATATGGGGACAGAGTTGGCATCTAGACTTGGTGCAGGATCTGGCCTTGAGTGCATGTATCTGCTATAGAGGGCCTGTGACTTTCAGGTCTTGTGACATAGAGACGGAGCACATATATTGCATGCAGAAAGGACTAGTCAGAGCAGACAATAGATACACCAGTGGTCTGACTCAGCTTAAGGCAACTTAGAAGTTCACATTCACAATGTAGACCATCCTTATTCTATTAGCCAGAGTATTTTTTCTGTGCGGATACTTATTTTCACCAACAAGGGGCTCACTCTCCCCCAACAGCTTTTCCTACATAGTCAGTAGACTTCCTGGGTTTGTAGAAAAATCCAAAAACTTAAAAAATCCCTTCAGGGACAGCTGAATTCCCCCCATAACCTTTTGAAATGGCCTCTGCAGGGATCTGCTTCAGGCATCAACAGTGAGAGATTAGAAAGTTGTGGGGGGAGGGGGCTTCTAACTGGCTTTGTCAGTAAAAGGGTGGGGGAAGGGCCCTTTCCAGACCTCTTTTGGTCTTTCAGGGAGGGAGGAAGGGAGCCTTGGGGCCAGGCCTCACAAGAATTGCCAGTGCCAGGCTGGGGGATTTCTAGAGATTTTGTGGCGGACTCTAAGGGGGGCTGGGTTTGGGAAGGGAGAGGTCTCAGCTGGGTATAATGCCACAGAGTCCACCCTCCAAAGCAGCCATTTTCTGCAAGGAGACAGACCTCTGCTGTCTGGAGTCCAGTTGTAATTCTGGGGGGTCTCCAGGTCCCACTTAGAGGCTGGTAACCCTAGGCCTGGCAGTAGTCTAGGGTTGCCAGGTCCCCCCTGATTTGCATGACTCACCTAGCCTCAGCTGCTTCCTAACGTTCATCAGCAGCCACCCTATGAAAGCCAGTGAGGTGCAGCAGTCAG